CATCTTCAATTTGTGTAAATTCCAGTCGGAAATAAAATGGCGAAGAACAAAACGTCGATTGTGGATACAAGGAAACGATGATTATGTGGAGATTTTAGATTCCGGTCGGAAATAAAATGGCGAAGAACAAAACGTCGATTGTGGATACAAGGATTTGTGGTTCAAAATGATGATTATGTGGGGATTTTAGATTGAAAAGGGATCTTCTCTTCGAACGTGGATACATAGATTTGGGGTTCAAAACATGATGATGTTGGGGATTTGATATTGGATTGGGAGCTAAATCGAATGTCGATCAAATGATAAAAGGATTTGAGATTTAAGATTTCAGAAACGATGATAAAAGGATTATGTTCGAACTTCGAACTAAGAGGGGACGTCCCCTCCAAGACGAATGAGGGACTAGAAATTGGTTAGGGCGACGGGTCGTATCCATAGGGTTTAACCTCTTAATCGATATAATTAAACCGGGTACAGTTAGGTTGAAGTCCAATGAACAACGCTTAAACGCTTCGTGATGCTTTTGGTAATTTTCCTTGCCCCCGGTTACCCGTACCCCGGATTTTGCCCTGGGCACCCTAGAACTGCCCATATATATATATATATTATAATGGTGATAGGATATATTTCACAAAAAACGAAAAACGAAAAGGAACCTAAAACTGTACAAGGAAATGGATCAACAGAATAGAACCCACGAGAGCTGACCAAAAGCAGAGAAGAAACAGAGAAAACAGCTCGGAGGAAAGCGGACCTGACCGCCCCTGCTCCGATTCGTCACAACGACGAGAAACAAAGAAAACTCGGCAAAAGGCCAAGAAAAGGCCCAAAGAGAACAAAAAACAACCACCAAGAGCTTCCACGAGGAAAACTTAGAAAAGATATCAGAACCAGAAACATTCAGAATCGCCGGATTCGTCAACATACTGGACAAACCTTCAAACTCGGACAAAATCCACAAAAGAACGATCACAGCGTCCACCTGTAGGTAAACTTCTCATTATCAGCTTCCTTCCACCACTTCTCTAAGCCTGCTCTCTTCTTGTGTGTTATCGATTTTCCTATGAGCTACAATCCATTCCATGACATTTCTAGCTGCTCTTTTTGCTACTGAATACGCAGTCGAAGCTTTCTCTTCGAAAACCCTTTGATTTCTTTCCTTCCATACTAGCCACCACACCGAATGCAAAATACAGTCTTTGAACCAATCTTCAACGCTGTCCAGCTTGCTAATTGAGTGATTCTTAAAGATTGATGAGATATCAGCACCTTGCAAAACCGATATAGTTTTGTGTCGGTTTAGGACTTGCCAAACCTCTTTTACGAACTTACAATCTTTGAGCAGGTGAGCTACCGTATGCTCATTGCTGAGGCAGAGGTAACATCTATTCGCCAACGACCAGCCTCTTTTTTCAGGTTGTCTACTGTAAGAATTTTGTTCTGATAAACGAGCCACAAGAAAAAGAAAATTTTGCTTGGTATTACTGTCTTTCAGATTTGTCTATGAGGAAATTCTTGGTTTCCTTGAAGGGTGTCTTTCACCAGGTTCTTGTATAGGGATCTCACCGAAAACGTGCCATTAGAATCAGAATTTCAAACAATTCTACAAGGGTTGTAGACATTATTAGGCAGACTAATGCTTTCAAGAAACTCCATTAACTCCATTCTTTCCCTCTCAGCACCCCCCTTAAATTAAATCTCAAAGGAATAGACCAACTCACCTGATCAGGACCGTTAAGGGATACTACGTCGGATAAACTCGCGTTAGGGACGGCGGCAGCAGCAACACGGGGGAACGACTTAGACAGAATCATCCTTGGAGTCCAGCAGTCATGCCAGAACGAAATCGACGATCCATTACCAGGGTCCAAACTAGCGAAGTTCCAAAATCGTACTCCTTAGAAATGTTTGCCCAAACAGATTGAGAGAATCCATGTCTCACTCTCTCTGTCTGCCAAGCCGAATTAGGATGTTGATATTTGATGGCGATTAACTGACGCCACCAGCTGTCTCTTTCAACTGCATATCTCCACAACCATTTGGATAGCATCGCATCATTAAAAGCTTTTAAATCATGGATACCAAGTCCACCCTTTTTCTTCTCGCACTTACAAAGTTTCTAGTCCACCAAGGCCATTTTCTTATACTCTCCCGTACCATTCCACAGAAACCTCTTCTGCAGTGTTATTAAAGTCGAGCCGAGCCGCTCGGCCGGATCGGTAAAATCGCCACCCGATCACAAAATCTGTTCGGAAGAGTCTAAAAGCCGTTCTGGTTTTATGTAGCGGTTGACGAGCGGCCGAGGTGGTTAACCGTCGAGCTGATCGAGCCGCTCATCCGGTTTTTTCCATTCAGCCGTTAAGTTTAATTAAAATTTTTGAAGAAAATTGAAAGTTGAAATAAACCAAAAACATCGGGCTCTCAAACTTAATCCTTATTTCCGTTTCACAATTTTGAAGGAAACAGACGAGCTCTGATTAAGAAATGTCCACCATTTATACTGATAACGTTTATTAGGTACTGGTTCTCTAATGGTTTTTAAACGGTCTAATGCCGGTTAGACCACTAAAGTGCGAGCCATTCGCATTACCGGGTCATGCTCCAGTTCGGTTCTGACAACATTGCTCTTCTGAACCTTCTCTATATCCTTGATAATAGATGCAGGTGCCTTAAACAGCAAGAACACATTGGACGACATACTAGAGAGAACTGCTTTGCACAGCACGAGTCTCGCACCAGAAGACATGAGCTTGCTTCCCCACCCATTCAACTTATTATGGAACTTACTGAGCAAGGAATCCCAAATCCTTGGGTCATTTGGCTTGACTCCGAGCGGGAAACCTAGGTATTTGAGAGGTTCGCTACTCCATTTACAACAAAAATATAGTAGCGAAGAAACTAGGGTCAGCCACGTCTCCAATTGTATACATCACTAATTTGTCGAGATTGATTCTCAAACCAGTAACAGATCGGAAACACACTATTGCTGCCAGAACGTTCAGGAGCTAGTCATGATGGGCATCGCAGAAAATAAGAGTGTCGCCAGCAAAAAGAAGATGGGTTACCTCGCCGCTGTTGGTTTCTTCATTTATGTAATAGCCCTCGAACTTCCTTGCTTCCCTGGCGGACCTCAACATCCAGGACAAGATGTCCATTATCAGCACAAACAAACCGGGTAAAAAGGGGTCTCCTTGTCGAAGCCCTTTAGAAGCTTTGAAATATCCCTTAGCTTCCCCATTCACGAACACATAGACTATAGGAGAACACATTGTGCCTTTGATCCATCTGATTCATTTTTCGGGAAAACCCAAAGCCTTGAGATTTTTGAACAGACCCTCCCAATTCACATTATCGAAGGCCTTCTCGATATCAAGCTTGAACATAAGGCCAGGTTTCCTACTCCTTCTCCTACACATTGCCATAAAAATTTTGGTACCTTCAACAATGATTATTTTTAAGAACACATGAAACAATCATTGGAAGATATTTGAGGTAAATGCATCCACCTTTCTCGAACATATTCTTCACTTGTAGGAAATTCATCGAGACTGTCTTTTTTTATGCTCTTTCGATTTGGTTTAGGAGGTTTAATGAGTAGCCTAATGTTCTCTAGAACCTTAACATATTTGCTTAGAGCAAACTAACTCTTTTAGAGAGTTTCATATCGATTTCATCATCAAGCATGCTTAATAAGTGCATTGCAACAAAATTCATTAGACGCATATATAACTTTTATATTATTGTCAAACTTGATATCCACCATGCGAAAGTCTTCTTGCATTCAATGCCAATTATTTTGCGAACATGTCTTGTTAAAACATCATATTAGTTTTACTGCATTGCTTCTGTATAGCTCTTATGACTTCTTACTGTCTAAGCGAGTTCATAATGGCCTCAAATGCGTCATTTACAACTTAGCCTACCACTTGTTTATGGTGATCAATTAATCTAACTTCATTATCCTCATTCATATCATATTCTGCGCCACAATATATAAGAACTTTATCGTCAACATTGACTTCATTTCAATTTCATTGAATCTCATACAAGATATAATTTATTGAGATTTCTTTCATATTCCTGAAACAGGTACATATGGTCCTTCCAGACCAATATTATAATGTTTGGAGATTCAAATAAGCTTGCAATATCCTCATCATAAATACCATATTTATTATGAGCTATGTTTACTTTGAGGACTTGTATTTCCTTGGAATTGATAGTTTCTACACATTACATATGTCTGCAACATATCCTTCGAGGATATAATTCTTAGGAGCATTAGCATCTTTTTGTGACTTAGTCACTCCTTCGTGGGTCAGTAATTACGCCTAATAGCAGGCTTACCAAACTTTGCAAATGAATTATCTTTGAACTTCAAGTTCACATTACAAGTGTGAGTATCATAATTCATTTCAACCAATTTTAAATCAACTGCTTATTTTTGTCCCCTGATATTGGAAATATTGATTTGTTGAAATAACTATGTCAGCAAACACCATACAATTGATTCTATTCTCATCAACAATATGGAGACTTCTGCTGAGATCCTAGGCTGGGTTTAAACTATTTAGGGCTTTTCAATTTGAGAATTGAAGAAGTAAATCGAAAGAAATACTTCTGAAATTGATAACTTAAACGTGGTCATTCTGCAGTTTTATGACTGCTTTTAACAAAAACAACCAAAGGAAAGAGGCGAATAAAAAGAAAAATAAGTTCCGAAGAACTAAAACAGTGGGGAACTAAAATCAATCTTCCCAATCCTATCTACCCAGAAACCCATCTTTGTAGAAAGGAATGAAGAATGAGAATAAGATCCAAACACTCCAAGAGATAATCCCACAGATAGTTACCCTGATTAAACCCAATCCCATGTAACCTATCTGACTGACATCTTCCATAGGGAGAAACCCTTTGTAACCCAAATCTTCTAGCTTTCCTGGTGCAATCCGTTGAATTTGATAAGAAAGATTTGAAACATTTAAATAGACCCCAAGAAGATGACCGTTGAGGAGCTTGAAGATGGTGATGATGAAGCTTCTATCAAAGGGTGCAAAAGGGATCTTGGAGGGCGAGAGGTGTCCGACTTCGTGCTCTATAAAGTGATGTTGGATACAGGGCAGTATGCCTTATTTGCTTTTGGAGCTGGCTTTGTGAAAAGCGGAGCAAATGCTTTTGGGACTTCTTCTTTTGGATTCTGACGAGCCAAGGTGAAGGATGATAATGACTCTTGGGAAGCATTAGTGGGTTGTCACTGAAAAGCATTTGGGAGGCTTAATGACCGTGGACTGCAGCTATGTGGCCCAAGTCCAACAATTTCCCCCTTCGTGTGAGCCTTGGTGAGATGAGAAGTTTGGTGATTTGATGCGGCTGGTGCAAAGTTCAACAATTCCCCCTTTTTCGAGCTTGAGATCAACCGTGAGCAGACTACAAAAGAAAGCACACAAAAAAACAACAGACAACAGCATACAAATAGAATATAGAAGATAACGAAAGGTTAACGAACATCAACCACAAAACATTCAATGTTCAAGAAGTGGTAATCATACCCCAATTGCCAAGGAAACATAAAAAGCAATCAAATGTTTTGCTTTGTTAGTTAGCATGTGAGTAAGAGGTATTCCCCCCCTGAGATGAGCAGCTTATGGATAAAAAAAATCTAAAGATTCCAGTTATAATTCATTACTCATTAGACAGTACCTAAACTTTCATCACACATTAAAAATGGAACTCACAAGTATCCAAATTTAAAACCATTCAAGCACACTGGTTCGTTAAAAAATCAAGTGAACACTGTTGAACCAGTTCTCTTTAGATATTCATAGCTGATTAATAGAGGACTGGAAGTGAACCAACATATTTAAAATAATGTGCGATGATGAGCAACCAATCACATTTATGAACCATCCTAAGGGATCACAATCCTATTAAAAGAGACATAATCACGACAGAGCAAAGGGTAGTGTGCAGATTATGGGTATGCAACATAAAATATATAGATTAGGCACTTGCAGGATTCCCCTAGGATTATGCTCTCCCCCTAAACATTTCAAACTATGTGACACCCAGGGGCAGATCACCTTATTCAACAATGAAGGAATAGGTTCCATACTGTCAATTTATTCCATGATTAAAGCAAAGCCAATAGCTAGTCATATTGATCAAGCATGTGGCCGAAACCAAACATCATGCTTCAATAATTATCTTTCCACATGATGGTTAATTGGTTATAACACCTTTTGGTGGCTCATTCACAAATAAGTGCAAGTATTTAGAAATCAGGACACAGACGATTGCTTAATAAACCACAAAAATGAGACTCGATATCCTAATCTAAACATGCATATCTAAAGTCAATTGAGCATATATCACTAATACATATATGATATAAGGTTTTGTTGATGGTCATTCTTTTCTAGGGATAAGGACGACATATTTTCACAAAAAAATGGCAAAAAGCAAATCATTCATCAAATAAGTACTCAAGCAAACATTGCTAACTCAGTTCTAGAATGCTTTTACTTAATAAACTATTTGAATGCATACGCAGAACTATCAGCTCACCATCAACAAAACACAGCAGACACAACAAGCTTTTTTCCAGAAAGCATGCGTATGGGACGAAACAATTTCTTTTGTTTTACTAAATTCTTTGTAAAGTACCCGACTGAGCTTGTTTGCTACTGATATATGAATGAAATAAGGAAGGATGAGACACTTTGACTCACTCCTAAATTTCCAGATGCAAATTTTTAATAAGAACACAAGACTGATTCATTTAGCATAGATACAACTTTAATCCCATGAGTAAACGCACTTGCAATTTTCAGCATGCCAAATCATTAGATGATCCATGAGTAAATGCACTTGCAATTATTATTGTTATATCAGACTTTTGACGATGAATATATATTGTAGCATCATTCAAGACTGATACCAAGATAGAAATTACAACATACTTAGAATAAGAGATTACCCGATGTCTGAAGCTTGCTTCACCATTATCTCCTTCCAGATAGAGTAGCGTGTCCCATAAAACCAGGGCAGATAGGTGATTACAGAATACCCAACCGATGACAAAGAATCAACCAAGATACCTTGAGGATGTTAATCCTAATAATAAGGAACCGGCTTTGATACCAATTGATGAGATTCTAGGTTGGGTTTAAACTATTTAGGGTTTTTCAATTTGAGAATTGAAGAAGTAAATCGAAAGAAATACTTCTGAAATTGATAACTTTAACGTGGTCATTCTGTAGTTTTATGACTGCTTTTAACAAAAACAACCAAAGGAAAGAGGCGAATGAAAAGAAAAACAAGTTCCGAATAATTGAAACAGTGGGAAACTAAAATCAATCTTCCTGCTCCTATCTACCCAGAAACCCATCTCTGTAGAAAGGAAGGAAGAATGAGAATAAGATCCAAACACTCCCAAGAGATAATCCCACAAATAGTTACCCAGATTAAACCCAATCCCATGTAACCTATCTGAGTGACATCTCCCATAGAGAGGAACTCTTTGCAACCCAAAGCTTCTAGCTTTCCTGGTGCAATTCGTTGAATTTGATAAGAAAGATTTGAAACCTTTAAATAGACCCCAAGAAGATGACCGTTGAGGGGCTTGAAGATGGTGATGTTGAAGCTTCTATCAAAGGGTGCAAAATGGATCTTGGAGGGTGAGAGGTGGCCGACTTCGTGCTCTAAAAAGTGATGTTGGACACAGGGCAGTATGCCTTAATTGCTTTTGGAGCTGGCTTTGTGAAAAGCGGAGCAAATGCTTTTGGGACTTCTTTTTTTGAATCTTAACGAGCCAAGGTGAAGGATGATAATGACTCTTGGGAAGCAGTAGTGGGCTGTCACTGAAAAGCATTTGGGAGGCTTAATGACCGTGGGCTGCAGCTGTGTGGCCTAAGTCCAACAACTTCTTGCTTAAACATTAATTTCATATATCCTTTTCATAACCCATCTTTGTAAATTATGGTAGAAAATTTACAACATTTAATTTACTTTCATAAATTCTTTGATGGGAAATTTAAGGATCATGACCAAAACCAACTTGTACATGGGTTTAGAATTGATAACTTCTTGACATGATGTAAAATCGATGGTGTTACATGCAACTGGAATGTGTTTAACAAGTGGTTCACAAGCTTAAGCACAAACATGTGCTACAAGATGTTTGAACATTCATTCATATATGCCCATAAGTGAATCAATTCAGCAACCAATCTTGCAAACTTAAGGTTGCAGGCGAAATGATCATTTAGACAATGCATCGATTAAAACCATAAAATGACTAAATGATTCATATGGTGCATTGATCCAATAATTTAACATTGTATACACTAATCACTTCTTACTTTTATTGATGATCTTATAATCAACTTTCTTTGAGAACAAGCAGCACAAGAAAAATCATTCATTGTAATTTTTTGATAATATATGAATCAAAGATTTACATGAATACTTGATTATATTTTTCATCAAACTGATCCAAGATGGCCCAACCGACCATAGCAAACAATCAATTTACAACAAACATAAACTTGATGTTTATGGTTTGTTTCATTACCTTTTGCTTTATGACAAAGGATGAATCGTGAGTAGTAGTTCAACACAATAACATGTGTTATGTTTATGGTTTCTTTCATTACCTTTTGCTTTATGACAAAGGATGAATCGTGAGTAGTAGTTCACCACAATAACATGTGTTATGCAATAGGTTACTAATAAGGATACCAAAAATGGATGCGGTCTAAGTGGTATGGCTCTTTGACCTCAATTGGAATGTTGCAGGTTCAAGCCCCCTTAACGCCAAATTTCGAAGTGATGAGTTAGCTTGACTACCCTTTAAGGGGTCGAAAAAATTACACCCTCTATTAATTATAGTTATTTTGGGTACTAAATTTGTGTTGCATTTGATAATATTTGGGAATTAAAAGCTCATATTAATTACATTCTTTTTTTTCAATTATCATTGCACTGATACAACTATCATTACACATGTACAATGATACCATTACACTAATACAATTGTCATTACACTGAAAAAGGTAAAGTAATTAATATGAATTTTTAATTTCCACATATTATAATTAATAAGAATTCTCACAGATTATTAAATGCATCACAAATTTTTTACCTTAAAAGCCTATAATTAATAAGGTGTATAATTTTTCCAACCTCTTTAGGGCTAGTCATGCTATCTCATCCCGATTTCGACCGACATATTACCCTACCTCTTTTGTTTCTTTCCAAAATTCCAAACGAAAATCTTCTCAATATGTCCAAAATCTATCACATCACCATCCTTATTTAGTCCTCTTCTTGGCTATAAAACAACCATCTTCCTCCTCTCCATATCATTATACTCAAACCGAAAAACTCATACATCATCTCTCAATTCCATCATTCTTAATCCCTTCTTGGGAACTCTTCTCGTCATAAGGCACTTCAAGGATCTTATCGAGTTTGAGTGAAGCAATGGGTTATGAAATGTGTCCCAAAGAGATCATAGATGGATTGATTTTCCTCTTCTTTGTGACAATTCTCCTTTTAATTGCACGCTCTTTTCAATTAGATAATCCTGACTGAAAACGCTTTCTCGGAGAACTAAAGCGTCAAGATCGTAAGAGTGATTAGGTTTCTCATCTTTGGCCTATGTATGGTATTATGAAAATGAGACTTGGATATCTTTTCATGTATAATGTAAGAATGCTATGAATGAAGTGAAGTTTAAGTACTTTCATTTAACAATAAATCCAAACTTTTACTTCCGAAAAGTTTGTGGTGCATATTATTATTCATCATCATTTTGGAGTCAAGTCGTAAGCTTACTTGGATCATCTTATGAGTAAAACTCCATAAATCGTTATATGAAATGGACATATAATCAAATCCGTTGGATCCCACTTTGGATAAGCCCTTAAACGCTTTTCCATAAAAATCTTCAGGATATGATCACTTTATTCAAATAATTCTTGATTCAACGTACAACTTGTAGAATATATAACTGATATCTTTGCCCCTTTTAATTAACCGACAAATCTATCTGACGTACAACTGGTACGTTATATAACATGTCCTTTGGTCATTAACTTTTTCACTTCTGGTGAAAATTTTGGTTGTTGATATTTCTTCAATACCAACCTGTTTATTAGACAAGATTTTGACCGTGTAATTTTCACATTCACTTCTGGAA